GTCCAGAATGTTTCACACAGTCTCAGGTCAGCTCTGGGAGGACTCTGGACAGGATGTTTCCAGAAAATGTGCATGGATTTTATCAGGTGGCCTGTGGAGGTTGGGCTCCTGGGTGGATCTTCTGATTGACTAGGGGGGGTGTTTCTCCTCCCAAGGTCTCTCTGCCCATCAGGGTTCCTTTCTGGGAGATTTCCCCGGTGCTTTCGTATGCCACATTGTAAATCCTGCTGTCCATCATGTGTTTCATTTCCTTCCAGGTTCTGGGAACGTTCCTCTCTGCTTCACAGAAACAATCTGCCCTGATTGCTGTGGTTGTGTGCCGTGCTCTGCACATGCTTTCTTCTTCCTGCATTCAGCCTGTTTGGAACTCCTTCCCCCTGATCTTCTAGTGGCTCCATCCCCAAAACATATCCTCCATGGCTGCTTGTTCAGCTCTGTGGGTTAATGCACTGAATTATAAAGTCGATTTGAACCTCAGGGTCGTTGGTTCAAGCTCACCAGCTGCTCCTTGAAAACCCTATACAGGGTTGCTATGGGTTGGAACCAACTTGAAAGCACTTAAGAATAAAAGCGAGATAAAACTGCAGCTGGACCCACAGGGCCGTGGGCAGTGGTCCTCTGGCTGCTACTCAGGACCTTTCTGTTCAGGTGCCTCTATTCTTCAGACCTTGTCTCCCGGGCCAGGCTAGCATTTCAGAGAGGGTCCATCTACTCTCCCGGGCCAGTGAGAGGGGCACCTGCCCTTTAGTAGGGGCTCTACCCGTAGTCTGCCCCGCTCTGGTGGCACCTACCAGCACTTCTCAGCGACTCCTGAGATGCCACCGAGGAGGGGCTGACACGGGTAGGTTTACGTGGATGTGTAGCACAGGCTGGACCGCTTCACTAAGGTCTTCCTCCAGAGGGCTTTGGACTTAGCAGGTTTGTAATAAACAGAGAGGTTAAATCAGCAGGAGGATCAAATAGACAAGATTTGAAAGAAACCACTTAATTTCTAGGATTGTCACTATGTATTGTTAAGGAGCTCTGGTAGCGTAGTGGTTACGAATCGGGCTGCCATCCTCAGGATCAGCAGTTCAAAACTACCAGCTGTTCCTTGGGAGAAAGATGAGGCGTTCTGCTCCCATAAAGATTTATAGCCTTGGAAACCCTGTGCAGGCTCACTATGAGTCGGAACCAACTCTACGATACATAACATTAGGTACCATTGAGTCGGAACCAACTCATAGTGACCCTATGCACAACAGAATGAAACACTGCTCAGTCCTGGGCCAACCTAACAGTTGTTACCACGCTTGAGCCCATTGATGCTGCCACTTTGCCAATCCATCTCGCTGGGGGTCTTCCTCTTTTTTCTCTGACCCTCCACCTTACCAAA